GGCGGGCAGCGGCCCCCGGGATCCGTCGCCGCTGCCGCCGCCTGAGAGGCTGGTCAGGGCCGGGGCGGGAGGAGCGGCCGGACGGGGTGGGAGCCGCGGCCGCCGCCTGTCAGGAGGGCACGGGACGGAGGGAGAGGGACAGGGACAGGGACAGTGAGAGGGACAGTGAGGGCGGCGGGGCCTTGCCCAGCCTTGAGGAGGAGCGGGCCTGGCGGCAAAGGCCGCGCCCCTCCCTCAGGGCCGGCCCCGGAGGCCGGGAGAGAGAGCTCGTAGGGGCGAGAAGGCCGATGGAAGCGGAGCGGGGGAGTTGAGAGCGGTGTTGCCCCGTTTCACTCGGAACCGGAGCCCGAGTGGGGCTCCCGGAGGTTGGGCAGCGGGAGCGGTGCCCTTGGGCAGCCCCCGGGCGGTGGGATGGAGCGACCCTCGGAGCGGGCTGTGCCTGGAGGGACGGGATGGCATCCAGGGGGACCTGGACAGCCTGGAGAGGTGGGACCATGTGAACCTCGTGAAGTTCAACCAAGTGCAAGGTCCTGCACCAGGGTCAGGGCAGTCCCAGGGACAAACACAGGTTGGGTGGAGAATGGCTGGAGAGCAGCCCTGAGGAGAAGGACTTGGGGGTGTTGGTGGATGAGAAGCTCAACACGAGACAGGAACGTGCCCTGGCAGCCCAGAAAGCCAACCCCATCCTGGGCTGCATCCCCAGCAGCGTGGCCAGCAGGGCCAGGGGGGGATTCTGCCCCTCTGCTCCGCTCTGGGGAGACACCCCCCAGTGCTGCCTCCAGCTCTGGGGCCACCACCAGCAGAAGGACATGGAGCTGTTGGAGCGGGGCCAGAGGAGGCCGCGGAGATGGTGGGAGGGCTGGAGCCCCTCTGCTGGGAGGGGGGGCTGAGAGAGTTGGGGGGGTTCAGCCTGGAGAAGAGAAGGCTCCGGGGAGACCTTGGAGCCCCTTCCAGTCCCTCAAGGGGCTCCAGGAGAGATGGGGAGGGACTCTGGATGAGGGAGGGGAGCCCTAGGAGGAGGGGGAAGGGTTTGACCCTGAAAGAGGGGAGATGATGGAGCTGAGATGTGGGGAAGAACTTGTTTGGTGTGAGGGTGGTGAGAGCCTGGCCCAGGTTGCCCAGAGAAGCTGTGGCTGCCCCATCCCTGGAGGAGTTCAAGGGCAGGTTGGAGGGGGCTTGGAGCAACCTGGGCTGGTGGGAGGTGATCTTCTGGGTCCCTTCCAATCTGAACCATTCTGTGATTCTATGATGACAAACTCCACAAACATCACCCCAGTGCTGGGGCTGGGGTGTTGTGCAGAGTTTTGTGTCTAAGTGGGGAGGGAGCAGCAAGGCAGGGTCCATGTGGGGATCCCCTGTGGGGGTCAGCAGCCAGGTGTAAGCCCTCAGTTCTGCCGCCAATCCACCATGAGAGGGGGGCTTATTCCAGTTCATAGAGAAGCCCTCATGCTGGTTGCTGCCCACTTGCCTGCTGCAACCTCTCCTCACGGCCTGGACAAGTCCCTCAAGGCTTCTGTCCCAAAGCACTGTAAGAAGTGGGTTCCAGATTGGGGATAACGTGTCTGTGGGAGAAGCTGCAGGAGCCAAGTAAGGAACAGAGCCAGCTGTCGAGTGGGAGATACGAAAGACAGTGCAGTGGAGGTCTGAGGAGCAGCTGTGAAACTGAAGCTTTGCAGCCCTCCTCCATGTTCTGTCCCATCACAAACCACATGGAGTCCAAGCCTGATCCAGGGACCGGGAAGCTCCTTATCCCAGTCTTTTCCCTAAGCTGCTTCTCTCCGTGCCGGCATATGGCAGAGGCTGCCAGAGTTCAGTGCCCGGAGAGAAGGAACGGCTGTGTGGAGAGCCAGGCCTAGGCTGAAGTAAGTTACTTTGGAGAGGATGAGTGTTTGGGCCATTAAAAAGGTCAACCCTTCGCTTAAAATGCGTTGCTCTTCATTCCTCTGCCTTCTCTCCAGCCAAATTTCCTTACCCGAGCTGCCAGGGGGCATGCATTTTCTACCTATTTGGAGCTTTCCTGGAAGAGACAGTGATTTTCCTCCTTAACGCGTTATACCAGAATGCGAAAGGCAGCTGTACTACTCAGAAATGTTCTTTTTTTTTTTTTTTTTTTAAATCCTGATTTTGCACGTTTGTCTTAAGATTTCTGTCCCAGTTTTGCAGATGGTCTGCACGCACAGGGTGATTCCAACACACTTCAGGGAGCTGTTGTTGGGGTTTTTTGGTGGTTTTTTTTTCTTCTTTTTTTTTTTTTTAAGGGCAGATCACCTGCTCAGGATTTGGGAAACGAGGCCAGGATTTCCAGAACACATCCGAGGGAGAGTGCGCAGCCCAGCGCACAACACACACGCTCGGGTCGGGCTTGGCAAAGAGCAGATGGAAATCTGGCAGCTGTGAAGTGGATCAAACGAGGTAATTTAAAATTCCAGTGGCCCCGAGGAGATCCGTGGTTCCTCATACCGGAGAAATGTCAAGTGTTAAGTTGTTTTATTTCAAAAGGTGTCTTTATTCTGTATGTATTACCAGGAGTTAATCTGTAAGCTGCTCCGATTTATCTTCTGGGTACCGCGTGGCCTCCAGACTAATTCCTAACACATATCTTTGGCCAAGATTTTATTTTCTTCAAACTCAGATAGACATTTTGTCCTGTGGAATAAACGCAGAAGGTCTGGTGCTTTGTCCGGTGACTTGTGTTTCAAACATCATTATTTATTAACATTTTCCATTTCCTTCATAGCTTTCGGATTCGGGTTACGCCAGGCCTAAGAAGTGCTACAGTGTGAGGCTGCTTTTTCCTTCGTTGCGTGGGGAGACTTGTATCAAAGGCAATTATCCTACAGATTATCTGTTTATTTTAGAGTTTTTAAGACCAGCAATCCTCAGCTCTTGCAAATTTGGGGCAAACTTTAGGAATTTTCAGAGTGTGAGTGCTTACTGTGGGAGGAAGGGCGAGATCTTCAGCTACAGATCAGAAGCTGGAGGCCACAGCAGGGTTCCCAGGTCACCGGCCCGAGTCCTGGACCAGACCAACTCCAAAGCCTTCCTAACTTCTGTTGGCAGCTCTCAGCCCAACAGAACCAATAATTGGCCAAAAGGGATTAGCAAGGGCATGGATGAAGAACCCCATACCCCTTCCTCTGGTCTGAGGGGTCAGGGAGGAACCTCCATGTTGAACTGGGGGGGTCCTGCCCATTATAAGCCTGACGTGTGCCAGTGAGCCAGCAGGAACCATGGCTCGGCTACAGAGCACAGCTCAGGATCTGACCCAAAATCTAGGGAACCAGTCGCATTTTTACTTAATCCAGTATTATCATAGAATCTCAGAGTGGTTCAGGTTGGAAGGGACCTTCAAGACCATCTCATTCCAACCCCCTGCCCTGGGCAGGGACACCTCCCACCAGCCCAGGTTGCTCCAAGCCCCCTCCAACCTGCCCTTGAACCCCTCCAGGGATGGGGCAGCCACAGTTTCTCGGGGCAACCTGGGCCAGGCTCTCACCACCCTCACACCAAACAAGTTCTTCCCCACATCTCAGCTCCATCTCCCCTCTTGCAGGGTCAAACCCCCTGATCCAGAGTCCCTCCCCATCTCTCCTGGAGCCCCTTGAGGGACTGGAAGGGGCTCCAAGGTCTCCCCGGAGCCTTCTCTTCTCCAGGCTGAACCCCCCCAACTCTCTCAGCCCCCCCTCCCAGCAGAGGTGCTCCAGCCCTCCCAGCATCTTCGTGACCTTCCACTGGCCCCGCTCCAACAGCTCCATGTCCTTCCTGTGGTGAGGACTCCAAAGCTGGACACAGAGCTCCTGGTGGGGTCCCATGAGAGCAGAGGGGTTTGATGATGAAAACAAGCGAAGCTAGTTCCACCAAAGTGCCGGGTACCCAATTTCAAGCTCAATAATACTGACTTTTAAGGTCAATAGCTGAATGAGCAACTCTCACATGGCTCCCAGAAGGGTTCTCCCAATTCCGGGAAAAAATGATGTATCATTTATGTGCAGTGTCAAAGACCTTCTCTTCTGCAAGCAGGAAGAAGAGTCATGTGAGGGAGAGGCAGATGCTGGTTTATTATTTAAAGATCTATAATATGTACGGGATGATCTATTTAAGCCTTTTTCCAGGCAAAACTGCTGCCGCCTTTGCCTCGGGAGGGAGAGCTGAAGAGGGGGGTGAGTGTCTGACCATGCCCTTGTCCCCGTCACGCTGGAGTCAGCATGAAAGCTGCTCAAACTGGGAAGCTGGTGGGGCAGAACAGGGAGTCCCCAGGGCAACCTGACCCGTGTCTTCCTAAAGCACCCGTTCCACCCACAGATGCCCTCACTATCCAAAAATACATCCTTGTGCTCTGCAGCTCCTTTCCACCCCCCCAGCCCTGGTGACACTGAAATATCCAGCCTCCCTCGCAGCCTCCACAGAAATCCCAATATTTGGGGGTTTTGGGGTTTTTTTTTCCGGATTTTTGTCCCCTGCTCCCTGGCTTTGGTTGGTTGTGGTTGGACTCGATGATCTCAAAGGTCCTTTCTAACCATGAAGATTCTGTGATTCGGTGGGAGATGGCGAGCCTCCCAGTCCAAACAGAAAGATGATCTATGCTCTACTTACGTTATTCCCCGTTAAGCTTTAAAGCCCCAACAGCCTCTCCCTGATCCTTCAACGCCGCGTCATCAGCATGGCCAAGGACAGGTTGTTCACCAATAAAGAAATGACCTTTGCTAGAAATAGCTGTCGCCGTAAATCTCGCCTTCCCGCTCCCTCTGCGTACGAGCCTGCAGAAATGTCACCCAGGAAATCA